TACCCCTAAAGCATATACAGTATTGAAAACCAGTGTCACCTCAAGAAACAAAAATACAATTTAAACGCCCCTTAGAGTAAAAAAAAAAAAAATGACTAAAAAGCAGTTGGTAAAGGAGAAATACGTCAGACCAGTCTGCCCCACACGTTTTTTATGAGGTGTCACTTCAGAATAAGCTTCCAACACAGTCTTGCTTTGGACCTTATTCCTAGAAGTCAACCCAGGCTGCCATCAGTTGCCCTTTCTCAGCTTCTGCTCATTTTCTTGAGTTCTAACAGGACAGGAAAGCACAGGATGAAGGAACAGGATGAAAATCTTTATCTGATTATGACCTTTATTCGCACCCTTAGACTGAATTGTCTTTGTTACTTTGTTGGTATAGACTTCCTCTTCTCTTACCTATTACTAAAGAGCCTTTCTCTCAACTCCAACACTTCATATATTTGGATAGCCCTGCTCAGTACCTTGGACACTTGGCCCAGGACCAAGAACCTGCTTCACATAAGTCTTCCTCTTTGCTTCCTCTGTTTTTGGTAGATGGGAAGTGGAAGACCCATTCTCAGCTCTCTGTGGCTTCTCTGTTGGGGGTCGGGTATACACTTTGCTCTTTATTTAGTAGGGTTTGGTTCAGAGCAATGTTTCTTAAAATGTGTCAATAATTTTCTGAATTAGTATTCACCATGAAGATGTTATAATTTTTAATTTGGGGATTTGGTTATAAAAATAGCATTAAAGATAGTTGTTAGCAACAACAAATGTTGGCAAGGATATGGAGAAAAAGGAACTCTCCTGCATTGCTGATGGGAATGAAAACTAATACAACCACTGTGGAAAACTGTGTGGAGGTTCATCAAACCACTAAACATGGAGCTTCCATACGACCCAGCAATCCCACTCCTAGGTATCTACCCAAAAGACACAAAAACACTGATTCAAAAAGATACCTGTACCCCCATGTTTATTGCTGCCTTATTCACAATTGGAAAGACATGGAAATAGCCCAAATGCCCAAAAATAGATGACTGCATTAAAAAGATGTGGTGCATATATACAATGGAATATTACTCAGCAACCAAAAAAAAAAAAAAGAAACACATGTCTTTTGCAGCAACATGGATGGAACTGGAAAAGATCATGCTTTGTAAAATAAGCCAGAAAGAAAAAGAAAAATACCGGATTGTTTCTCTCATAGCAGGAATATAACAGAACAGGCAAGAAAATAATGATAATGATGAACAGCTACATACCAGAGACATTTTGTGGGGGTGGAGTGGGGAATGGGATCAAAAACAATATGGGGAGGGAAATGCACTGGACTATGGTGATGACACATGGGTGATTCGGTGATGGGAAGCCCATGGGGATTACAACCGAGATGGAAAAACGCACAAAATGATGTAGAAATAAACTATTATATATATAAAAAAGAGAGAGAGAGAAAATAGTTGTTAGCAAAGGCTTTACTTAATGTAATAACTGGAAACCCATATAATGCACATTGCCATGTTGCCCTGTCTTTCTTTTTTCTACTCTTTTGAGTAAAGTTTCACTCATACTATTATAATCCATATGTATATATGTGTATTTATATGCATATGTATATATATACATTATAATCCATATATGTGACTAATGTGTGTATATATATTTATTCATGATCTCTATATGTCCTCATTAGTACAAAAATGTATTAAACTTAGAAAGTTAGCATTAGTAGAAGTGTTCATAAATAGCTATTTCAAAGACTGTTTAAATTATTTGCTATTAAGAAGTAAATCCTTATGTAACATATACAAAATTATTGTAATCACTATGTAAAATCTAATATTTTCCTAATAATGACCACTTACTCAATTTAATCTTAAATTATGTGAAAAAATCATGTGCAAAGATATGCATTTATTGGATCTATTCAGTAATAACCTGGTGATTTTTGTGTACCATAAAGGAAGACTCATAAAAGGAAAATTAAATGAATTTTAATTTGAAGAATTTTGCTAGAAATGTGGATGTTGTTTGCTCAGAGTTTAAAGATTACACCACAGGTGTCATCTTCCTTGGAATCTTTGAAAAATCAGAGGTGACAGAAAAGCAACTGAATAGTCTTTGAAGGAATGCAAGTATCGCCTACAGTGGGCCAAGGGGCTGACTCAGATGGCATTTTACTCATCCAGTAAATATTTATTGAGCATTTCCCAAATGTCAGACTCTATGATAGGCTGGAGTATTAAGTCAGTGAGCAAAAAAAAAAAAAACACTACCTTTACTCCTGGGATTTAAAAAAACGTTTGTACCCTAAGAGTCTGGGAATCTACAAATATGAACTTTAGTTTTTCAAGTTCATTTTCTTTCACTTTTAAACTGGGGCTCAGAGGCACTATTTTATAGCCTTTATTTTAAAATATGTGAAATAATGTATGTAGAAGTACCAAATGAGAAAATATGAAAACTTGAGGAAAATCAACAAAACATGAAAAGTGCTGAGAGCATTATTAGGAGTTACAGCAGCAGAAATCCAAGTGTACTCACCTATACAGACTTATTCTCATTAATTATGTAATACAAATGTATTTTTGAGTGAAGACCTTTTCTATACAATGGTAACTCGTATTCTTTTCTTTAATCACTGTTATAAACATGGAATTAGAGTTTTGGCACATACACATCTTTATAGTCCAAGATGTTTTCACTGGAAAGTTCTGCAAGCTAAATAGGCAGACTCGTGTCTGAGAAACAGCATAAGTAAATGGCCACTCACAACTTTCAGCTGTAACCCTATTTAAATTTTTCATTTTATGCAAATGAATGTTCATCTTAACTTTGCAGTTCATAAGTGTTAGAGTCTCCATTGCTGACTGCTTCTCCTTCTTTAGTACAAATTAACCTTCTTAGAAGAGAAACCAACGTGCTATAGAGGTGTCTCTTAACAATCAGCAATAGGACTTTTGAGAAGAAAAGGGAAGAGTTCATGTTTTATAACAAGACCCAGGGAAAAAAGAATGTGCTTGTTCCTTTGGGACTAAAGGAGGTCTGTGTATTTTTCTGGGAAAGTGGTTTTGCTTTTCTGTGATTGACGACCTGTCTGGTGTGAGACTGGCCACAGTAATAATGTCAGGACTTATTCTCACCAACAAAAAAGGTTGTCAGTTCTGATGTGATGGAGGTGAGAAAGGGGATTGGGATGATAGAGCTGAAAGGTCCACAGAGAGCCCTCTGATTTAGGTATGTAATACAGGGTGATTTTGTGTAAAACTGACTTCTTTTACATGTATAGAAGAAAGACTAAAGTGAACTAGAACAAAAAATTAAGGAAATTACTTTCAGGACTAGTAGTCAAGCTGCTCAGGCTCATTTGTTTTCTTACACTTAGTGGCAGTATTTGCAGAATATATCCTCACCTCTCTGTGCCTCTGTTCTCTGTCTGAGGAATGAGGGTAATGGCAAACTTAGGTTCTGTGAGAGACTTCAAGCAGTCCTGGGTACATGCTAAGTGCTCAGTAAATGTTAACCACTGTTATGTAGACAAAAGATGTGTATATGCCAAAAGAATTACAATCTTTACTTAATCAAACCATCCCAAAGCTGTAAATGCTGCATTCTAACACATGCCATTGGGGATATGAAGCTACTTGTGTTGAAGCAGCGGGCTTTCCGTTCCATCCCATTATCTCTGCAGTTCATGACACATAGCTGTTGAGTGAATAAATAAATGAATAACTGAATGATTAAAACATCTTGCTTGATGTTTTCATACAGGTCTAGAGATCCCAGGAAAGTTGTTAGCTTTTAAGAAATAGCTGATGAAGGATGACAAGTGATAGTATGTTTTGTGTTCTTAATATGACTCAGTTGACAAAATTGATTTTTTTCTGTCATGCTTGTTATGAATTTCTGTTTACCCTTCTGTATGAAACAAAGCCTAGCAGTATTTTTAAAACTTCAGTAATTATCACCGTATTTAGCATCTTAATAAAAGAACAGAAGAATGTATGTGAGGTCACCAAGGGCAGGGAAGTGGAAGAAATGAGGAGTTGCTGTTAGTGGAATTTGGAGTGATGGCAAAGTTTTAGGAATAGAGAAGTTATAGTTGTACAACAATGTGAATTTTAAATAATGCCACTGAATTATATATTGAAAATGGTTAAAATGACACATTTTATGTTACATGTATTTAACCTAAGTAAAAAGTATAAATGAATTATACAAATAAGAAAGCCACTGAAATAGTCAAGTTAAATGCTTATTTTCTAAAAATAAAGCTACTTTACTCAAAAGTTTTTTTAAAAGCTCAGTAGTCTTAGAAACAAATACTATCAAGTAATATATTTTGCATATTCATTCTCATTTAAGAAAAATATTACTGCTACAAAACTATTGTTAAAGAAGGCAGTGAATTAAAAAAGTTAACAAATAGATAATTGAATGACTAAAAGAAAATACTATTTAAATAAATAAATTCTAAGGTTGAATGCCCAAAATAATCAGGCCCAGTTTATCACTGGTTTTTGTAGCTAATAGGTCAAAATAATCACATAGAACAGAAAGCAGATGTGGACACATCTGTCACTCTAGTTTGCTAGGAAGTACTGTCACATTTCATAGTCATGAGACTAAAGTGTCAGATACAATGGATTTATGCTCTAGTTCTGTGTCATCTTTGAGAGTATAAGATTTTTAGGTGAAACAGTTTTCTCATCTTACAGAGAAGATGAGATTTTGGCTAAATTTATGTTTAGTATAATTGACAATTGATACAATATTATTCCATCAAAAATTCCAGTCTACAACTCAGGCTTTTGGATATGTTAATCAGTGAGTGTTCAGAGTACCCGTAATTGTTGGCAATCTTTATTATCTTTCTTAAGAAAACATCAAGGTTAAAATTAAGACATTCTTTGCCTTGAAAGATCAGCCTTGTAAACATTGATTTCCATGTAGATTTTTTTCTAACCATTTTCTCTTTTTCTGTTTCCCTTCTTTATATGCTGACTTTGGTGTAGCAGACCACTTGGGGATTGAATTCATGGGTAAGACTAAAAACTTTATTCCTTATATACCTGGGGAAAAAGCTAACTTTGATAATAATGTATATAGTGTTTTCCTTATTTTGATTATAATTGAAATGTCCCATTATCAGATGCTATTAGGCACACAAAAAAAATTTCTGTTGATTTTTCACTAAATGATGGCTCAAAATGAAAGATTTAACTACTTATTGGGAAGGCAATTTAATGTTAAGTACAGCCCTGGAATAATACAGAAGTTGTATTTGGCTCTTGGCTTTGATTGCTCTAATTCTCAATTTTCTTACCTGTAAAATAGGGATAATAATAGTTCCTATTTTACTGCAGATACAAATTGCTTAGCACAATATCTACAAGATGGCACTCAAAAATAATAGAAAATAATGGTGGTGGTTTAAAAATGTCTGTTTTTGTTCTTTTCTGCTCTTACTCCTTTTCCTTTTGCTTGATGACTACTTTAGATACATTTTGGTTTCCATCTTAATTTGAAGTATAAGATACATGAACATTTCTATTTATAAAAACAAAGCAATTCTTTTGACAGTAGTTGTAGGGAATGGCATGTACTAAAATGCATTAAAATGTCTTCCATGGGTGTTATTTTCTGTATTCATAGATAATCATGTAACAATTAGACATAAATTTCTGAGTTTATGCTATAAGTAAGATGAAAAATAAAACATCTTGTAAGGTTAATATGAATCATGTCACTAAACTAAATATACACAGGAGTTAGAGTTAGTAAAACTGACTGAATTTTCATTCAAATTCATAGTTGTCTATTTGGCTCTTGTTGACCTTCATGTTTGTCTTTTAAATGATGTGAATATGAATATTTGCTTCATTCTTGCATATGTCAACTGTGATAATACTTATAAATATATTTTCTCATTTATTCAGAAAGTATTTATCAAGTACTCACTGTAAACAAAGAAACATTCAAAATGCTAGAAATAAAATGATGAGTAAAGATAGACAAATCTGAATCAATGGAGCTTACAGTCTAGTAAACTTGCAGACAATAAAACTAATGATTATAAAATTTCAAGTTTCTCAACATCTACTCCAGGCTAGATCATATCAACATGAATATACATTAAACTGTATTGCTGAAGAACATGGGATGAAATTGATATTTAGGGCATGATATCAACAAGTATTTGAGAGGATTTGATGTTGAAGTTTAGAAAGGGAGATTATCAAGAATGATACAGACTTATATTGTATATATTTAGGTCAAAGGTAGACCCATTTACTGGAAAATGCTGGAAGAGAACAGGTAGATATTTACTTGATTAAGGCCTCAGTGTCTTTGATATATCAAGAGAATATGTCAAGTTGTATTGCTGGGCATTTTGAGGAGCCAAATAGAGATTGGTAACTGTCTACTTATACTGGAATTGATATTGCCTGTTTTGTGTTACTACTCATTAGTGAAACATAGTAATTAGCTGGACATTTTAATCATTAAAAAAAAGAAGACAGTGCAAATCCTGTAGATATGAGATATTCCTAGACAGGTCTTATGAACTTACAAGGACAATAAAATTCTTGATAATATTCAAATGAAGAATCATGGAATGTAAGGTAGATTAGGAAGAGAGTGAAGAATGTCTCTCTCTAAATGGATTCAATCAATAATCATTTTGAGAGTCCTAGAACAGGTTGTGACCTAAAAAGGATGCAGTACAGAAAATTATGGGCATGGTCATGCAGCATATTTCTTTCTTGAAAAGAATATTTTGCTTTTCTCATTTAATGATGATGGTTTGATTTATAGCATGAAGTTGTAAGAATCAAGTCACTGTGAGAATAATGGGTAAGAATCAAGTCACTGTGAGAATAATGGGTTTAATGGTCAGAGATATTTGCCCCACTAGACTATAATAATCACTGACTTTGAGAATAGAGGCATCAGAAGTTATGCAGTAGAATGATCACAGCTATGGGAAACACCACATGGCCAGTAGTTAGTGCTGAGGTAACTATATACCCCACATCAAGTGTACCAGTAGCTGTAGAAGACTAAAATTGTTAAATCACTGTTAATTTGCACCATGAAAGGAAATGGATGAGTCACCATCCTAATGGCTTTCTCTGAGGGCTTCTAGTGATCTTGGCACCTTAACCATTTGCTATGGAACCAGCATGTATATTAAGAGATCCTTGTTAAATGATTTAATTAATTCAGTCACTGATAGGGAAAAATACTATGGTATTGTATAGTACATCTATTTGATCCTCAAGACTAAAACTGTGTATCTTGTAGAAGTTGGAGTCAAATTATAAACCGTTGTAAGGAATGAGTTCTCAAGTTTTGAATATTATTTGATGCCAGAAATTGATATTGCCCTTGGAGAAAGGATTGGGCAACAAGTCAAAGTTAAAGGGAAGACTTGGTATGTAGATAAATAATAGCAATTCATTAAGGTTAGTTTGGAGGAGTTAATAGTTAATAGACTTAGTAAATAAGCTGTTTCTATTGATCTCATTAATTCTAGACACTGTTCCACCCACAGGTTTCTCTAACCAAATATGTAAAATTTTATTACTGCATTGTGAAAATATTTTCAGATTTAAATTTTGATTTTAGAAGCCATATGGGTTATCATCTCAGTAATATGACATCTCGAAGTATAAGTTCATCTGAGAAGCAGGATTGTTGGCATAGTCTCTATAAATTTAATCTTGTTAGTTTATTACTGGGCCTACAAGTGCTTAGGGCCAGTTCTGTTTTAATGAGTTCTAGAATATCTTTCTTCTCTACTTTCATCATTCTTGTTTTGGATAATGCTAATTACATCTTGAATTGGAACACAGAAATTTCAACAATAAATATTCTCTGTAATAGTAGTCTTAAACACATTAAGTTAACTGATATCATTAAGGCAGAAAATTGAAGGTGCATTAAGCATGTAAGCACAAATTTGTGTTTCTGAAAAAAAATTAAAATTGGTTTATATTAAACCAACAATATTTCTTGAATTAATAATTTAGCCTACTCAATCATGCAGGCATGAAGAGTAATTGAAATTTCTAGGGTCAGATGTTCAAAGTTTCCCTCATACAAAAACAGATCAAGAGATAACTAGACTCAGTTATAAGTACAACTACTCATTGAATTGTGTAAGAAATTCAATAAATTATCCAGATGACACGTGGTCAAATAGCATATCACTGGTCAGGTTTAGAAAATACATTGATCATGAACAGGGATTTCTCTTCTGAGAAATACTTGGCCACTGTTTCAAATGCTCAGCATGGAATATGTCTCATTTTATCCATTTGAACTTTCCGTTGTAGACATCAAAAACATTTATACAAAAGCACGTGCAATGGTATTTGCAAATATATTTGAAAACTTTAGAGACAGGTGAAGATTGTGTAGATGTTTCTTACAAATTTCCTCCATTTCCATTTGGAAAAATAACTTGAATTCTTCCAGTTAAATGTCTTTTTTTATGATTTGAGATTGCTTTATGATAATATATTTATGCAAATCTGATTGAATAAATTCTGGCATTTATTTTAGTCAAAGGATTTATAGACATTGGGACACATCAAATCCTTAACTAAAGTCTGCAAAAGTTCTTCCATGATACTATTCATACTCTGAAATTTTAAAAAAAAAGGAAGGAAAAGAAGAATTGAGGGCATGAGGAAAGGAGGAGCAAAGGCCTTAAAGATAATTTCTGAGAGTGAATCAGCTTCTAATTGTCTTTGGATGATATAAATTTTGTATTTTTTAAAAGTTACCCTGCTTATTATGACTGAATTGCTGTGTGTTCTTTTTTAATCTAACAGGTTCATATATTAGATTCATGTATGTGTCCAAATTTGGAAATTTGCATTATCTATATAGAAGTGAAAATTTTCTTTCTTTAAGTGGGAAGTTCTGTATTATACTTGAAATAGAAAGCTTTTTGTTAATTTGAATATATCATATTTTCTTATACAATCAAATGGTAATTTACAGATGATTTATCTGTGTGTGTCTTTGTAGAGCTAGTTCAACAAGAAAAGTATTTGTTTAGTTTTTCTTATATACCATTTGCCATATTAAAATACATGAGAAATTAAATGTTGCTGTAATATAATCTAGCATCATTTAATATTCAATTTATGCCACAAATGTACATAATCTCACTGAAATTTATTTAGTTGGAGTAGCTCATTCAAAGAACAACGATTGGCAACTACAGGATTTGAACCTAAATCTGCCTTACTATAGAATTCTTGAATTCTTCTGGTGACTCTTTTGTGAGTGAGTGAATCACAGTGAGTGACTCCCTATTACTCAAAGAGCTTGTACTCTGGCAATACAGTGTTTGAAGTGCCCAATGCAGTTTTTGAACCAGTTCTGAGGTTTGAAAGTAATGTTCTTCAAATGAATACATCATATGAGTTTGGATGATAATTCATCTTATTTAACCTACAAAAAATGAAGAGTCAGGTGCCACGTTGTAGCTTTACATTCATTCAAAATAACTGCTATGTGTTCAGAATGGCTCTCATTGGCAGATCATTACATTCTTTCATATTGGATAATCTACAGAAGTTGTAGTTTATTTTAAGGTTTCTTAGTGATTATTGTTTGTATCGAGGGATATTAGTTTGTTGACTCTACTACGGAAACCATAAGGTATAAAGGACTTAAACATTTACTTCCTTTGCCAAGTAGGTTTGTGGGTTGAATCATCTCTCCGTCTTTCCATGTCTGCTTTAAAAGCACACAATCCCGTTTTCTCATTTATTTTTCTTTTTACTTATGACCACTTCCTCCCTCTTTATGCTATAAGCTTTTAACATGGGTCCAGTATAAGTCCGAATAATTTAACCATAAACCCCTCTGAATCTTTTTTCTTTCCTTCCTTCTCTCCATCTGTCTGTCTCTTATTTTAATTAAGGGATATCTTGATTTGATTCAGTTGTGTCCCAAGCTACCTAATCACATATATAAGGATAATATTTTGGCTTAATTATATATATATATATATATATAT